CAAAAGCATTGACATATATTTTTCCTTCCTACGATAGCCCGACGGGCAGGGCAGAGATAGATTTTGGTAGCCCGACTGGAAAAATCACTAGCCCCGGGACGTCGGGCTAGTGATTTTGCGAGCCCTGAGTGTGAACGCTCAAAGTGTCCCGCATGCACAAAAGAAGACGTCACACACAACGAGCTCTGTTTAGACCCAGATCAAACAGTATTGTTTGACTGATGGCCGTTAATATGAAGACTTGTTTCGGACTTTACGTTTTCCCAAAGAAACTGTTCCTTAGATAGAGAACAGCTGGATTGCAATTTAAGTGTTCGCCACGATGGACATTTCTACAGATTAAAGAATTCTAGGAAGCGTTCTGTTATCAACTCAATGAATGAGGAAACGAAACTGAGTCATACAGATTAATAAAACTACAGGATAAGCTTGTTTTCTTTTTTCCAAATACAACATACCATTATAAAGCACCTTGAGGCAACTGTTGTTATGATTTGGTGCTGTACATATACAATTGAATTGAATTGAATTAAATTAAATTCCTTCTCTCTTTCTTCCTGTACCTATCCTTCTAGATGGGAAAACCAACAGACCTCCCCTCATCTCTTGATTAACTCAGATTTTCCCTAAACCTGCTTTCTAGAACAGGGTCATGATATCAATAAATTTTCATTTCTCCAACTGTCCAAGAAAAATAACATCGACATAAACATTTTTAAGTTCAAAGCAAAAGTAGATATATTCTCCCCTAAAACTCATAAGTCAGACTTAGATTAATGTATCTCTATAAAATTATTGCATAACCTAATTAATTAAAATTCACTTTCCTGATGTCTAACTCGGGGATAAGAAGCATGCTGAATTAGGTTCTGAGCAACTGAAAATATGTCAATCCTTAATATGGCAAACTGGGAACCAGTAAATCAAATTATTATCTACTAAATTCTGGACAATTGTGTATTTATTTGGTAGTAGGGTGTGTATTTTTTTGTTGTTGTTTAGCCATAACATTAAAATCACTAACAGGTAAAGTGTCTAAAATTGATCAACCTGTTACAATGAGAAATTTTGGCTCACTCCAGGACTGAATGCTTTTTTTAATGAATAAAAAATTGCGTTACCATCCTGCCCAGGTCCAGTCCTTCCCCAGAGCCACACCAGAGAAAGACAAAGGAACGTAGAGCAGATATCTCTTCTATCTCCAGTCTCATGAGCTATAATAGGAGAGTGAAGGGAATGGAAAGAGGAATAAGCGTAAATGAGAAGAACACTCCATGCTGAGTAAGTAACTACTACTTACTTAACTCTTCTTTTCTAGCTCATAGGTTACCTTTGCATTAAAAAAAACCTGCAGGAGATAAAGCCATTCCTTTTTTTCAGTCCTGTCTGGCAGCTTTTGCAATCAGAATTATGACACATTTTAACAGACTTTCACATCAGCAGATAAACAGTGCCATTTGGGATGCTGGCTGTTTTACAGGTCCAAACTGTTTGCTGTCCTTGGAGTCATGTTTCAAACCAACCCCTACCTCACCTTCACACATAAGATAATAACTTCTGTAGCTTATTTATTTTAGTTTTGTAGTGTTTTTTAAAAACAGTAAGAGTTTTCAGTATTTAATTACATGCTAGTCTAAACCAGTAAATGCAAACCAGTCAGAAATAGTATACATACATCATCCCAGGTCCAGAAGCGTTCAGTGTGGCTTATGCCTGATTCTCTGTAGTATTCCTCTAGAGGAGGTTCAAGCAAAATCACATCAAATTTGCACTTCAAATCCTTCAGGTCAAAGTGCTCTGGGTCTGCCTGGAGGTACCTAAACACACAGACAAACGTACCGAACTTGAAATGGTCAGTGACTACTTTACAGTGCATCTGGAACGTATTCACGGTGCTTCGCTTGTTCCATATCTTATTACACACTTTTTACAGCTTTTTCCAAAATTGATTACATTTATTATGTGTGAACACATTCCAGATGGACTGTAATTCAAGCATAAATTAATTGCACTCATAATCAGATAAACATTAGTATTCATTTAGCATACATGGGAGGGGTGTTGGTAGTGGCGATGAGTTCGTCCTTCAGTCTGATCAACTCTCGAAGTTTAGGGTATTCTTCAAATCGGTCGGCCAAGCCTTTACAACAGGCGACACAGAGGTCAGACTCACATACATGAATATGAAACAATCAAATAGCAAGCACACACTTACCAACATCTCTGATGAAGTTCTGTGGCCTATGCCCAGTGTCCACAAAATGCTGGCAGTAGTCATTGTGAGGATTCAATGACTGGGTACCCTGAGAATGAAAGAAAATTGCCATATAAAGACAAACCACATGTGAACCTGTGTTTTATCATACCTTTAATATGTGCCATTTTAAAATATTTAATATTTTTTTATAGCACATATTTTTCTTCATCCTGATTGGATGTAGATCATTGACAGTCTTGTGCGTTTTGCAATGTCAAAGGCCCCTGAGGTAGCAATCAAAAGGCAGAGGATGATGCTAACCATTGCACAAAAAGTTGGACTTCTGGACATGCTGAAGGAAGGCAGAAATTACCGTATTTTTCGGACCACAAGGCACATCGGATTATAAGATACATTAAGCAAAACAAAACAGTCAGATAAGTCAAACTTTACTCAACTCATTCTTCTTGCTTCCTCTACTTCCGTACCATTGATTCATTAATGTTGAATTCTCTCGCAGCTGCTCTATTCCCATGTTCTGGACCCTGAACATGAACCCCTGAAAACAGGGTTTGATCTTTGGTTTCATTCTATAATACTGGACTTATTTTTCTATGAAGGTTTGAACTTTGAGAGTGTTTAAACAAGAGAGAAAAGTGTGAAAAGTTCACGCCTGTCTGAGAAAAGTGTATAAAGTGTGTAGTTAGGGGTTTTACAGCCTTAAAACATCTATAATAATTGTAAATAATAAAGCTGACTACTTTGCGGATTTCACTTATCGTGGGTTATTTTTAGAATGTAACTCCCGTGATAAACGAGGGACCACTGTATTACAAAAATAGAAAATTTATGGAACGTGATAAAATGTGGAATCATATGTAAATATCAACACTTCACCGAGTTCTTTTGATTCCTCAGAGGCATCCAATGAAAGACAAAACACTGCTCAGTAGACCATTTAACACTTTATTACTTCTAGAAGGGAGATGCGTCCTGCATGACACGCTGCCGCGGATCTCAAAATGGCAGTATGCCCCTAACAGTTTTATTACAGAAGCTCTCTCATTCTAGTCTAAACAACAGTGTCTCAGTAACTTTCCACTAGAGATGGTGCTCTCTTATCTGCATTTTCCCAGGCAAGCATGAGCGGGAGTCTGCAGCTTTCCACTCCCCAAGGACACATGGTCTAATGCCTTTATTTTTCAGGGCTGTGTCCACTTAATACTACACTATATACCTTTATAACACTTATTAATAAAAAAAAGCATAGCAGTATTGAGGCACTGCAAATTATTTAATTCCAACACATATTAGGAACAAACTGTGAAAACATGAATAATCCTGTTCATATATCCCTTGCTTGCCAGAGCTGATTTTTGTTTGTAACAGTGAGACTACTCACTGATTTTATTACACTCTTAAATCCTACTACTTATTCCTGCGTCTTTTGTGATAGTCGACGTAATCATGACTAGTCGACTAATTGTGGCAGCCCTAATTTAAATATAAGAGTACTTAAACAGCATAAATGTTTACAGTGCCAGTAGTATAGTGTTACAATAGAAACTGGCACTGAATGAATAATTTAATTAGTTAGAAAACATTCCACAGACTATCCTCAGTCCAAGTCAAATGCTCATGCTGGCAAACAAAACTGACACTTCTGGTTTGGCAACACCTGCCAGAATAAAACTTGTTTATCTTACATATGCTTGGCTGCTGATTACTTAAAAAGCAACTAAAAATGATAGCGTTATAATTCTTCCTTCACTACTTGTTTTTTTCCCTTCTCTTTCAAGTTAACCCGTTGTCACATTGGTTGCACTAAATCTTCTGGGTAAAATCTAGGTTAGCATCACCAAAGCAATTTGAAAGGAAAAAAAACAATCAGTGCCTTTAAATTTAAAAATCTTTTACATATCATGTTACACAAGGCTCACAAAATGGCTAGCCCGACGTCCCGGGGCTAGCGATTTTTCCAGTCGGGCTAGCAAAAATCTATCTCTGCCCTGCCCGTTGGGCTATCATAGGAAGGAAAAATATATGTCAATGCTTTTGCATTCTTTCGGAAATGTAGCTGGGTAAATTTTAGTTGGGTATATATTTTATAGTTCTGTATATTTTAGTTCTGCTGAGCCAAATAAGACAGGTCAGGGTGAAGAAGTGACAGCCAAAGAAAAGCTTACCACAAACCGGAGAAGTTATGACAAATCAGACTATAAGGCAAAAAGAAAGTGCAGCTTTATGGTTTCATGGACAAAAGAATTTCTGTGGCTGCGATATGACGAGCTATATAACCGGGGCTGCACATAAGTGGTCTGCAGGTGCGCATTCGCTGTCAAAATAAAAAACACGCACAAGATAAGAAGTTGCAACGCGCGTTTGCGTACATAAGATTTTCTGGAGGAGGACAGACATTTGTTTAGAACTCTTAAAGATGTCGAAGAAGCTCCTTTAAGCAATTACTTTGGTTTTCCTCCACCTCCAAAGAAATGTCAGGAGTCCGAACCACAAAAGAAGCGCGTATTCTCGGAAAAGTGGTTGCAGGAGGTGAGCTGGCTTCAAACAAATGATGAACACACAGAGATGTGGTGCAGAATGTGCCGTGAAAATCCCACTCTAGCGGACAAAAACAGTGCTTTTTATATGGACGCAAAGGCATGTTGCAACTTCTTATCTGGTGCGCGTCTTTTATTTTGACAGCGAATGCGCACATGCGGACCACTTATGTGCACCCGTGTAAATAACATAATGTTCTGCCGGGTGTGTTGTTGGTTTTCTCTCGATTTCTGAGTCGACAAGCGCCTTTGTTACTGGGACCAGTCATTTTAAGAAAGGCCCCCATTAGAACCCATGAGAAATGCAAGAAATGCATTATTGCTCAGTCTGCAATATCTTTCCCAGAACAAACACCAATTGCAAATAACATACTAAAAATAAACCTGAAAAACCTGTTTAGAACGCGTACTATGTTGCAAAGAGTGAACTACCACTGGCACAATTTAGCAGTCTTTGCAAACTTCAAAAAGCAAATGTCCTAGATCTTGGTTCCACTTGCCTCTTACTCGTGACTTCAGTGGAAATTTAAAATTCAGGATCTGACACAGACTGATTCATGTCCTACAGTTCTTACAAGTTCATAGAAATTTCTTTTCAATTAGAACCAAGTATTTGAGTTGATGATTGTAATTTTTATACAATGTTGTAATTTGTGTTTCAACAATTTTTTGATTAATGTTTTGTTTCCGTTACAATATTATACTTTAATGTATAATATTGTAAAGGAAACAAAACAGGAAACAAAACATCAATCAAAAAAATTGCTCTCTTTTTTATTTGGACTGCTTAAATTTATTTTGGGCTACCAAAAACTGAAGAGTCCCTGACTGAAGGGCTACCAGGGATTTTTAAATTTTGCAAGCCCTGTTACAGCACAGTGAAGTTTCCTGTTAGAAGCATGGCAGTGGCAGCTTGACAGTCATTTCAATTAGTTTTCTAGATTATTACATTTATTGTTTTTATGTTCAGTCTCAACTGTTACGAAGATGATGTGCAGTTAATAAGTGCAATAAATATTTATATTGGAAAAGAAAATCGTGAGAGAATCGTGATCTCAATTCTAAGCAAAGAAAATTGTGATTCTCATTTTATACAAAATCGTGCAGCCCTAGTAAAAACTATAACTTTAATCTCAGCTAAACCGATTTACTCAGGAATAAATAAAACACTGAAAAAAACGAACAATAAAATTTTTAAGTTATCTAAGTGACTTATATATGAGGTTTAACCTGAGTAGCAAAAGACAGCGGGGGGTTGAAAATGATTTGCCGGGAGTTTGCTGTTCTCGTCGGCTCTAGTGAGCTTTGAAACCCAGCTAGCTATCGAGCTGGTGGATAACAGACATCTCCAAAAACGTCAGAGCGCTTTTGCAAATATGTGATGTCTTGATAAACCAAGCAGATATTTGAAGTTTGCACAGCTACATTCTCGCCTGAAAATAAGTTAAAAGTTTATTTTGTGACACAGAAAGAGTAATAATAGTAATATTAAAACTAATTAGCTGCTGCCATTGATGGAATTGGCTGGGCTGCGCTATGAATCCTGGGATAGGCTGGGCCACGAAGGATACACCCAACCCATCCTTCAAATCTGGGGAAATGAAGGACACATTTATCGGCCGCAGTTGCAGAAGTCATCGAATTTGGACAGCCTTCGTCACATTGCTGTAACGTAACTGGCCTACAAATGCGGCCTCCAAAGGATGCAGCCTCTGAATTTGGACACAGCTATGATACCTGACACTGCTTCTTCTTCTTCGGGGTTTAACGGCAGCTGGCATCCTTGTACATGCAGTGCTGCCATCTTCTGTTTCAGTCCGTTATTACACTCTTAAATCCTATTACTTATTCCTGTGTCTTTTGGGATCTTACAAAGCTTCAAATGATGTGTCGACTATTAAATTAGTCGTCGACGATTTTGCTAGCCGTCATAATCGTGACTTGTCGACTAATCGTGGCAGCCCTATTGTGCAATAAGGTCAGATGCACTCCCTGGAAAAAGGTACACCCTTTTTTCTTGTGAAAATGCGACAAAATGTCATTGCTTGGAAGGAAGAAAAAAAAAACAGACATACGGGCAAGTTTGGCATTTGATGTCAAGGAAAATAATACTTTGTAAACCATGTGGAACAACTCACACTGGTAAAAACACAACAAACTTTAACACTTTATATTTTAGTCAACTGAATCAACTTTCAATTCAGTCTACTAGAATTTTGTGATATTTGGTCAACTACAACTAGACCAAAACCAAATCCAAAATTTGCTGTCAAAATTAATAAGATGCCACACTGATACATTTAATCACCTCTGTGATGGCTGTGATGGCTCTGCTCAGGATGTGTGTGTGTGTGTGTGTGTGTGTGTGTGTGTGTGTGTGTGTGTGTGTGTGTGTGTGTGTGTGTGTGTGTGTAAAATGCCCCAAAAAAGACAAATGTAGACAGAGAGCAGTGACTGAGACATCCTGCTGCGTTTTCACATCTGCTGAGTAATCTGTATCTCTAAGAAAGTCAAATTATAGTCCATTCAAAAATTTTCTTTTGCTTAAAGTTGCTGGATACTTTGTGTGGAAACAGGTTTTGCAAGTCCATACAAAAGTGACTGTGAATGCGAAGAAAGAATTTCCCAACCTTAAGAAAAGTACTTGAGTCCTTGTACACCTCTTCATATGGGTTGGTTTCATCTGGTTGCTGCACTTCCAGCTCATCCTAAAACACAAACAGGCCCACATATGCATGTGTGTACAAATGACCAATCAGGTTTACAATTATGACTATGACTAAGACATAGATTATGACTATGTTTAGCAGACGAATGCAGCTGAATGTAATTGCAAAATAAAGCAAGAGAACGGTTAACTATATCGTCAACTATAACAAATACCACCACTGTTTAATATGAAGAAAAAAACTAAGACACAAACGTACAAAAAACATTAAATCAGTTAGATGTTAATCAAAGAGTGAGATGGGACATTGTCAGCCTGCTAAATCTGTCCACATTTTCATATATTTGTTCTAATACATCTGAATCGATGCATTTCGCACTATAATAAAATACAACCCTAATTCCAAAAAAGTTGGGGCACTTTGGGAAATGTAAATAAAAGCAGAATGCAATGATTTGCAAATCTTATAACCCATGTTTTATTTACTGCAGAAACTGAGAAAATGTACCATTTTAAGAAAAAAAAAATTGCTCATTATGAATTTGATGGCAATAATACTTCCCAAAACCGCTGGAACAAGGCCATGTTTACAGACTTTGGGGCTGGAGCCTATCCCAGCTATCATATTTCGACGGCACATTGCTGGGCTGACCATTTTGTTTAAATAAAATAGCAAAATGTCTCAATTTAAATATTTTACATGTTTTCTGTATTCTATTCGGTTCTATTGATTTGATTAATTAACACGCACAACATGCAAACTTCTCTGAAATTGTGATTGTAAATCTATACTTCACCTTACAATTCATTAACTTCAGTTATAATCTGTTAAAACCTTTAATGGGTTGTAGTTTTAATAATACTTGAAAGTATTAAATGGAAAAATGAACTAATACTTCCACCTTTTTCATAAGTCATTTGTATTTACGTCATTATAGTCACGCAAAAGAGCAAAGTCAAACTCTGGCTCAAAGACAACATTTACCAGACAAGATTTTAGTAGATTAGTTTTGTCCTCCAATCCAGACCTTTACAAGCCTTTGTGTCCAAGTCACGCCACATTTCAAGGCACTCATGTATAGACGCTTGTAGAATAAGAGCCTTTATGTCAACACTAATGATGTCAGTGATAACTTTAACTATATTGTAAGATAGACACTTTTGAACATAGCTTTGCTGTAGGCTACACCACTTTATCACACATTACTTACTACTGCCTATGGCACAATGTTACAATACTTAACTCCTCCTAACACATTCAGGCTTTTTAATTATGTTTTATTTATATAATACCAAATCTCATAAACTCAACATTTATGTGGTTACACTCACCTTTTGCTCTTCCACATCCTCTTCTGTGTCCTCTCCTTCAGTCTGTGCTTTCCTTTTAGAAGAAGGGGCTGTGCTGTCATATGAAGCCCTGCAACAACAAATACACCTCAATATTTCAACATTTCCTAAGTCCCAAAGGAAGCATTTGGTACTGAACAAATGACAACACAGAGCGCACAAGATGGAAAAAAAAAAGAATGTGCATGCAGTAAACCCAAAGAGAAAAATGCTTCTGAGCATTTCTGCAGTTTAGTAAACGGACTGGGACTCGTAATGGTTCAGGGCAACTTGGGGGTTCAGTATGTTGCTTAATGATGCTTCAACATGTGGCGTTGAGGAATGATCCGCCGACCTTCTGATGGGTGGATGCTCCTCTCTACCGCCTGAGCCACAGCCACCATCAACAGTACCAACACTACAGCTTACCTGCATGTTTCTCTAGTCTCCTCGATCTCTTTTAGTTCGTCTTTACTGTGTAGGACTGCTCCGATGCTGTCTGCGCTTTCAGCTCCCAGCTGTGGTAACGACAGAACAAGTAAATGTAAAGGCCCTCCTGCTTGTGTTGTGCCAACCATAGAGTGCCGACTATGAGGAAACATTTTCTTAATAAAACACCCCTTGGTGTTTTGTACTGCTGGTACATGACTCCATAGCGTTATGGATAATTGTAATGGGACCTCAATGCGCTCAAATCTTTTATTTACACGTACATTGAGTCTGCTCCTCTCGAGGGCGACCACTGTGAATGTTTGAAAGGGATAGGCAAGTTATCGGCACCCATGCATCGATGTGTTGGACGGAAACTATATGAAAACCCATTTTGCATATAACACGCTTAGCTCCACGTTATTAATACAAATCCGTTAGGTTTGTAGATACATTGAGAGGCAGCTTGGGGGCTCGTTGTGTACTTGCCTGTTGAGCTAACAGCTGCCGCCTAAGTTTTTGTCTCTCGCGTATCTCTTGAAGACGACTGTTCATTGCGTCTCATATACTGTGTTCTGACAAACTATTAAGTTCCCTTGGCCGCTGGTGTAAATAAAATATTTTCATATAACACTTATAGCTATCTGTAACAACAGCTAGCAACCGGCTAATGCAGGTTAACCGCTAAAAAAAAAAGGAAAAGTCGATAGATGCAATTGATTTCTACACCCGCACGCTCAGGCTCAATTTATTGCCCTTCCGCCGGTGGAGTTTGTTCAAAATGAGAGTCAAAGGCACATGTGTATTTGAATTTTGTTATAGCTCGTATACAGTTATACCTAACTGTATTGGTTAAATCATCAAAGTATGAACAATATTTGGGTCTTAAGAATAGAGCGATTTACCACCTGTCTCGGCCATTGCCGGTGTACGCCGGTATTAAATAAAGAGCGAATGCCTTTGTGATTGAACGGACGCAGCGTGATGATGTCACAATCGCTGACGTCTCATGAGTCGTCTTCCAATCAGAGACGGTTAGTTCTTCTCGCTCTTCAAGCAGCAGCGTACAGATCCCACGAGTGTTCCCGACTAATAATTTAAACACCAATCACAACAGAGAGCGCTCACGTTACCTCAAGACGTACCAACCACTGACATGTAATGTTTTAGCAATTCCAGCTCACCTCACCCCGATGATTTCGACTTTATTGGTGATACGTTTTCATGCACTGGTTCACTGATAAGTAATTCTTAGCATTTGTTATATTTCACAATCTTTTAACTCGTGTTTTTAAACTCTTGCAGTCACAAAGGATTCAAGTTGCGATAGACAATGGAGCGCATTCATTTTTAAAGGAGATTGTGCAAAATGATAAAAGCAAGTGCTTCAGATAGCTCAACTGCAAGAACGCACCTCAAATTAAGTCCTTACAAATCGGCTCCAAATGACTGAATACTTATAATTCGAGCAATAAAAATAACAACACCACGGTCTAAATTCCATAAATAAATATATTTTTAAAAAGTAATTTTAAGTAAAAGCACAAATTTAAATACCATGCATTTTCATGTTTTATGTTATTGGAGCAAATGCCCTCATGTTTGAGAGCATTTGAATGCTGTGCGTCAGGAGGAGTTGTAGATTGTATTTTATAGAATATTTCTAAACTACTTGGTCGAGTGGGTAATGAGTAGTAAAGGGTACTGAAACATATAACACAATGCCAAAAAAAAGATCTAAAAAAACATTCCTATTTGAAAATATAGGTACACAGTTGGTCAAATCAGTCATCTGAGGAAAATTACTTCCATCATGTAGCCCATGTTATTGAATTTTCGCTGGAGGACTGCCTTGCCTATACAAAAAAGAAAAAGGGGTTTCATCGATCCGCAGCGTTCTCACTCTCGTCCCACGGCTGGGCGAGAGGCTGACTGGACGCGTGGAAACCCTTAGCTGATGATAGGATCCGTCATAGCCCTAACATGAATGTGCCATTTTTTGTTTTAAAAGCCGCTCTTTTGGCTGCGATCAGCACTCGCTGTTATGCCAGCAGCGTCCCTTCATTCATCCTGCCGTTCACCGACTGTGCCGGGAGTCGTGGGAAAGACGGCTTCTACCGGGGAGCAATAGACGTCACTGAGTCCGGCACCCGGTGTATGAACTGGACCGAAGTCTCCGGCTTCGACGAACGGTACCCGGGTAAAGGCATAGGCGAGCACAACCACTGTCGCAACCCGGACGGCCGAATCCGACCCTGGTGCTTTTTTAGGAACCACAGAGGCAGAGTAGACTGGGGGTACTGCGACTGTAAACAAGGTAAACACGCAGGCCTAGTAGCAGCAGCTTTATTGTGTTTTATAGGCATTAACAGCCTCGAAATTGTACAACGTGGCTACAAATATTACACCTAGAAGAAGGTGAAATCCTCAGATGAGCAGGATTCAAGACATGCTACAGCAGATAAAAGGCCAATATGAATGGAATGAACATTTTTATAGGGGCTGAGAAGCTGTTGATACATGTGTTTTTACAGTACTGTGCAGCTGAGTCATAGAGCATCCACCCATGGAATCATTAAAGCCTACCATACCTTTGGTTTACCAGGGTGTGAATGTAATTGTTCATATGAAAATATTTGTGTTTTCAGCTCTTCCTTATTTAAAAATCCATATGCAGCTGTATTACATTACAGTTTTGGTGTCAGTTATTGAACGTTTTAACAATTACATGCCGGTAAGTCAGGTGTTCAGATTCAGTGTGTTTACAATTGCACATGGAAGACAGCCACAGGGTGCTCAGGCACCTATGAATATTTAGGGGCATGAATTTGTGTGAGTGTGCGTTGGCATGGATGTGCTCCCAGGCATTCACTGTAAGCTTCTTACTTTACAATGTAAAGCAATCAGGTTACCCTGATGCATGCTCACACACTGAACGACTATACCTGCAAATAACAAATCTGAAAAACACATTTTGTAATCATCTTATATTTATCTTATTCTTCTTATATCATATTGATCTTATGGGTTATAAATATTTAGGTCATGAATTGCGTTGTGGGGCAGCACAGGAAGAACACGTCTCTCCACTTTTGAAGGAACTGGCTGTGCAGATAGATAATATCAAAAGGTGTGACATTTAAAATAAACAATCAGACATATTGTTTGCATTCTTTAATATTTCACTTTTTGACATTACTGTCTTATTTTTTTTGTGTCTGATGTGGTGAAACACACATGAAAACATGGCCGGTGATCTATGTGTGCTTTAGAGCTCGCATAGTGTCTCTTTTTCTCTCCTGACTTTGTGCCAGTTTTAGCCCCCCCCCCAACTTTAAACTCAGTGTTCCCCAAAAAGATTCTTTTGCACATTACATACAGTTTTACATCTACTGTTCTCCAACCGTCTTTCCATCTCAGGCTCTGTCCGTCTGCAAGGTGGCCGCTCCAAGCTAGATGGCAGGGTGGAAGTGTACCTTGGGGGAACGTGGGGGTCCATTTGTAGCAACGACTGGGGAGACGAAGATGCTACAGTGGTCTGCAGACAGCTGGGCAAGGGGTGAGAGAGAGCACAAACGCGTACATGTGCGGTATTTATTTTATCCCTCCCTCTCACATACGTCTTTAGACAGAGGTGCAGGTTCTGTCACCATCTGCCATTAAATTCATAACTGCTAACAGAGCTTCATTCAGGCACGCTCCTCTTTTCTGCTCGACGCTTCTTGTTTGACTCTTACATTCCAGCCCTCTATTCCCCAGAGGCACTTAAATACCTCGAGTGTCGTGCCGTTTACGTTGTTTCTCGCATACTCGTCCGTTCTCTGTTTCTGTTTTTCACATGTGCCTCTTACTGCGTCTCATGGACTTGATTATGAGATGTTGTCATGCTTCTCAAGGGAGCCTGTAGTCAGATTGTATATAACAGCACAGTCCATAGTCAGTTGAGAAAGTGTCCTGCTCTCCCTGGAGAACAGAGAAACTCTTTGACTTATTGCACATGCTGTCACTAACACCAGCGCTGGCACACATTCTGATACGAACACTTGCCCGCGTGTGTTTGTACTCACACAGGAGTCAATGAAAGTCCACAGCAGAAAGGAAGAAGGGCAAATGTCAGGCATATGTCATTTGGAGTGCTTGGTGATGACTTTCACATGCTTAATTATTGAAAGCTGTTGGGTGTAAGGACTACTAACGGCATTGGCCCAGAGCAACAGATTATGCATGTGCAGACAGCTCAAGCTTACTGCTAGCAGGTTAATAAAGCTGCCTGCTTGTAATTTGTAACTCTTGTTATTAAATGAGATTTGGATCAGTGTCAGGTGGCATGATGGTGCTGTGTGGAGCTTGCATGTTTTCCCTGTACCTACTTCCAGGTTATCTGGTTTCCTTTAACATTCAAAAGACATGTTAGGTTAATGACTCCTTCTAAATTGGCCGCAGAGAGGATGTGAGAGTGTAGTAGCCCTGTTATGGACTGTTTCTGGCCAAGTGTGAGTCGGAATAGTCTCCAGTCAACCCGTGACCATAATTATGAAAACGGATGGAGGGGTGGATGGGTTAGTGTCAGCTGGAATATTAAAAAGCTTTTCAAATTACTATAACTAACATGTTTCCCTTTTGATGTTCTTCCAGATTTTCAGGTCGCGCTCGAGCAGTTCCTCTGTTCCGTCCAGGCACAGCCAAGCTCCACTGGACGGCAGTCCATTGCCAAGGCAAAGAGCCAGACCTGCTCCAGTGTCCCAAGGCAACCTGGAATGGCGAGGAGTGTTCTCTGGTTGCAGCTGTTACCTGCAACCAGCAGCCAGGTAATTATAGATCTGCCATGGGAGGTTTGTGAGAATAAGTTGAAAGAAAACAAATGATCTTACAAACTACAAATTTCAATAAATATATACTTTAAAAATATACAAATAAAAAAGCAGCATACTGTGTGCTTTTTGCTTGCTCACACTTCAGCAGGTGTGTCCCTTCCCATAAGGCTGGTGGGAGGCCGGTCAAAGTCAGAGGGCAGGGTTGAGGTCCTCCATGCCGGGGAGTGGGGTTCCATCTGCGATGACCAATGGGATGACAGTGACGCAGAGGTGGTGTGTCGACAGCTGGGGCTGAGGTTAAGTCGTATTGACACACACACACACACACACACACACACACACACACACACACACACACACACACACACACACACACACACACACATAATGATACAAATGTTCATATTCAAATTAGCATAAAGGAAATACACTGCCGGTGTGACAGAAGTGAGAAAAAAATGTGTGGCAGAAAGATACAGAAGGCAGCTGGAGATGAGTTTGTGCGGGTATCCTGCCGTCTTTCTCTCCCTCTGTCTCCAAAAGTATGACAAGTATTCTTTCTATGCAGACACAGAGAAAGAGGAGCAAGCAGTAAAGAACATCTGGGGGTCAGACAGTGAATCAGGCTCATTGTTCCTGCTAGAATTCTAGCACTACAGAGATATGCATATTTAGCAGCGCTATACAGGGAGCAAATACATCGCAATGTTTACATTTGCAGGGATGTGCGTGACAAGCAGTGTCCCGATATTAAAAATGACATATAATGTGCTCACTCTGTAAATCCTCTAAATTAAAGGAGAAAAGGATACGGTATTGTATGCGCTGCATTTTGTACGTCATGTCCAATGAGCACATGTGTTTTGCATTAGTAGTACTAGAGCCAAAATGTCTTAGAATTCTGCATCTTTCCTTTTCTTTGTAGTGGCGTTGCAAGGGCATGGGGCCAGGCACATTTTGGCAAGGGTTCAGGCCGCTTGTGGTTGGACGAGGTGCGTTGCACAGGCAATGAGCTCACTCTGGAGCAATGTCCAAAAAGTGCATGGGGAGAACACAACTGTCTGCACTCTGAAGATGCAGGGGTCTCCTGCAATCCTCTTACAGGTAGATCACCAAATAATCATTGTTAGGAGCAAAGACATCAAAGTGGGATACACACAGACATGTTTATATATATAGAAATCAAAGCTTCTCACCTTATACCGGAAACATCAGGAAGTTCCCATGACCCTGAAAGATTTTGTCATGATCCTGGGGCCTTTTGACCCAGCGTTTTGTGTTTTCTCTTCGCGATTTTGGTTCTGTTCTTCCTCTGGTTAGTGTTTACTCTGTTCTGCCCGTGTGTTCCTGTATCTAGTCCGCGTTTCTTAGTTTGTCCTTTCATGTGTAAGTTCCTGTTTTATTGTGAAGGTCTGTGTCTTATGTGAGTGTTTTCAGTTTGCCTCCCTAGTCTCGTCATGTTAATTACTCCCAGCTGTGTTCCCACCTGTATGTAATCCCCCTGTGTTCTCTGAGTGTATTTAAGTTGTGTCTTCTGTCATAGTAGTTGCTGGTTCGTCTGTGTTGTTTCCCCTCGGTCTCCCTGCGTCTCCCCGTATGTATTTCCCCGGACCTCCCTGCACCGTCATTCCTGGTTTGTGTTGTTAGTTTACCCAGTTTAGGTTTCGGTTTCATGTTCACACCCCGCTGCTGTTTGTACCCACTGCTGTAAATAAACACTCACCTGCACCAGAGCTGCCGCCTTTTGGGTCCTTACTACAAATCCACACGGCTTGCCCCGCAAACCGTGACAGATTTGGCTTTTTGCTTTTGTTGCTCTCTCTTCCCACATTTTTGACGTATCAAGCACAGGTGTAACTGATAACATTAACAACAAGAAGCACTCTGAGAGCGCAAACCTTCACCAAGGCAGCTCAGCCTCTGGATTGTATTTACCTTTACGGGAGTAGAAGAGGTCTGTAGTAAAAACAATTGGCCTGTTTTAGTGCCCTGTGGAAACTCATTTTAATATCCTTAACATAATTTTGATTTTTGTTACCCCCCCTATAAAAAAACCTTTTTCAGATCCATTGTATATGTATTCCAATTGTTATGTATTTAAAGAATTATAACCTGTTACTGTCAGTTACATGAGAAAGTCATAATAAAATATTGTGATTTTTATAATCTTACTATATCATTCGCTATATGTGTATATTTTGTCATTACAGCGGCAGTAAGAAACAGTTTTAAAAAGTGCTATATAGCATTATTAACTCTTTGACCTTCATATCTAGTCAGTCTTTTGACCTTGAAGGAGTGGTCAAAGGTCAAATGTGACATGATACTTTAAATTCTTACCAATAAATCCTTAGGCTGACCTTTGGTAAATTACATCTTGGTGCATTTGGTTCAGACAGGATTGACCAGAGCTTTTTTGTTCATTACAACATCAGTAATTACACTCTGAACGTTTACAGTGCAGTTAATAGCTTTGCTGTGCTCCGTTATTTCCTGCAAAACTTAAAAAAAACGATAAAAGTAAAATATGTGACTTTTGGAAGAAATCTAGAAGAAATTTATCCACATTCAAAAGGAGATTTCTCTTTCTCTCAACCCGTTTATCCCCAATCACTCTCTCACTTTCTCTCCAGATGGTACTATTAGGTTGGTTGGGGGTGCCGGCAGCCACGAGGGACGTCTAGAAATCTTCTACCGTGGTCAGTGGGGAACGGTGTGTGACGACGGCTGGACAAACTCAAACACGCAAGTGGTGTGCCGACAGCTTGGCTACAGGTAATGTAAAGTATTTCCCACCCGTTCACACACCTTTGTATTTATTCCAAATCATTGCTCATAAATAACTTAAACATGTTTGTTTGATTGCGGATGTGTGTCTGCATGTGCAGGTTCGGAGAGACTCTCTCTCCTGGAGTGCCAGATACTCCAGTTCCACGCTTTGGGGTGGGCTTAGGTCCTATTCTGTTGGATGATGTGAGCTGCACGGGGAAAGAACCTAGTTTATTGCTGTGCAACAGGAGGGAGTGGCTGCACCACGACTGTACACACCAGGAAGATGTTAACATTGCATGCAGCCCTGAGCACAATGGAGAGGGTCTTCCAATCAGTAAGAGAATACATTAAAAGGTTATATATGGGAGAGATGCATGGTTTTGTATGTGGTTATGTATACTGCAACTTGTATGTGACTATATATATGGCACAGTTTTTTTGAAGCATAGTGCTAGTTGAAGCTTTAGGCTGGATTATTATAACAACATAGGAAATATATTGGGCGTGCAGGCATGCATAATCTCTAAATCTTTCTGGATAATGTTTTAGGAAAAGAGGTTGTTATGCACACATTTACATTCATACTGTTTTTTCAGAAATATAATTCAGGGCTCGTAGTTCATCATAAGAAAGAAGTATATTTTTACATCCCCTTATGATATTTTAATGCTCTCCAGTTTTACTGATTTTAGTCTATATTAAGACTTTCAGTATTGCTGATCAGTGGATTTTGTTTTTCCCCCTCTCATGTTTGGTTGGCCTTGGCCCAGTAGAGATCGCCTCATTGCATAAATGGGATTCCCCAGGAGTCAATCAAACTGTTGTACTTTCCAAGAAATGAATTTAGTTTCCATTCATCAGCAGAATGTCACTTGTGTGTCAGTCAGGTATTCGGACCTATTACAGCTGAAAGATCAACATCAAAGATAATAAATGTGGTCTGTTGGGCATGCACCACGCATTCAAAATTTCCTTAGAGTTACACAACAGGCTTTGCTTCATTTCAAATACTGAACAGAAGGTCATTGCAAGTTTTCCATTGTTGCTGTTTGTTTACAGAAAAACAAAGTGCAGAAAACACACATGAAAGAATTATACTAAATATGGAACTATATTTAGTATAATTCTTTCATTTTACATAAATGTATTTTAAATTGCTGTTACAACAATATTACTTTATATCTGCCAGGCCCACTGATGCCACCATCAGTGGGCCTGGCAGATATAATCTGCATGAGATATTCTGATAGATCCTTTTAGGATTAGTGGGCTAAGCAAATGTAACAAGGGAGACTAATAAATACACAAAATTATTACTCTTAGTAGCAAAAATACAAATTATGAAGGACTCTTGTATCCTGGCTTTCCACTTGTAGGCCAACTTTATAATCAGGGAGAAATGGCTGTTTAATTTGGTGGGTTTAGCCAAATGATTAAAACGTCTTTGTAATTTGCCTTTCCTTTCATAAAAACAGATAATGGAAGGGCAAGCTGATCTGAAATCTGTTCCTGACATGTCTGCCACAACCTGCAGGCAATTAAACCTCATCGTGTGTAGAAAAACAAAGTCAGCCTTTTTCAAGAGACACAGGGAGAGGATGATATAAGCCATGCTAACTCTAGTAAGCACAGCTGTCAGTTGGTTTTTCCAGCCTTAATAACTTGGCATCATGGTAAAGTCATCATGATCAAATGACTCCACTACAGACCCTTTACCTATAAGTCCTGATGGTACAATCACATCTGCCAGGCACCAGTGCACTAGTATGGCCAACCTATCGCATAACACAAGATCTATGTCTATAGCTTCCAGACAGCAATAAAGTTCTGCAAGGGTAAGAGATGCTGGCGGGTAAAGTTTCATACATCTCTGTATGGCTCAGATGTCTCAGGTTTCAGATCATTCTGCAAATGTCGCGTGCACAAGTCTAATAAGTCTAGCCCATGACACAGAAAACACTGTGTTTTTTACATCCTGAGTGAGGGCAGGTTTGAAGTTTGTGTAGAGAGAGCGCATACAAAATGAAATGGCTGCTTAATTTGGTGGGTTTAGATGGCTTACATTGTTTGGCAATAGCCTCAGGGACGCTCTTACCCCACAAAAATGCAACTCAAGAATTCTGTTATTACTGTGGAGCATTTGTATGCGCGTCTGATTACGTGTTTGCGTTTGAGTGTTTACATGTGTGAGCAAAACCCCACTTCATCCCTCGGCATGCCAAAGACAGATCAGGCTGTGTTGTTTTTGGAAAAGGGAAAAAAGTAACTAGCCAGGCAGGATAAACCAGGCACTCAGCCTTTCACTTTAACTCTCTGTTGTGATAGATCATCACATTAAGGCCGTGTCAGAGCAGTAATGTAGCGTGTGTGCATATCTTTACTTTTATTACTCATGCTGAGGGGATATAAATATGGCTCCACATAGTCACATTGAAAAGACCTTCCCTCCTGAACAGAGCTCACTGATGTAAATCATTAAAATCTACACTAAAGCCTTTTATGTTAATGTTGGCACTTGATACAGGTTATGATTAAAACTGGGGTAATCTGAAGAAAATTATATAGGTAATGTTCACTAGTTGATTAAACACAATTCTGTGTGTGTTTGTGTGTGTGTGTTAAGACAGGAAGAACTGTTTGTGTTTCTCAGGATGGACAAACATTTCCTTAATTGCCAACACCAACTAAGATGTAAACATTCCCACAATTAATTCTCCCTCCCCTAAATCTCACCCTTCTAAATGTCCTATGTCCCAAAAGCACAGTCATTAAGAAAATTTTGGTATTTCATTTAATGTAATAGAGCCAGAATCATTTTATACTGAGGTTCCCTGCTTAGGAATGTTTAGACTACGAAGCACAAAAAAATGATATCTCTGAAATGATCTCTTAAAGAAACAAAGAAGGACGCAAAGAAAGAAAATTCCATGAGAAAATCTTTCTTCTTTCGATCTAGGTATGTTGATTCAGTGGCAAAACAAAAAAAAATCAGATTTAGCTGAAACTTACAAAGAATGTAAACTGATCCTGAAAATGTCTACAGACGGGAAAGACATTAGTATACACTTAAATGTGTTTGGTGTGAGTGTGTGCGTTTGTGTGTGCATTTTGGGGCATCTGTATGCTCACAACTATTAGATCAATGTAGAGCTTATACTGATTTGATTAACAGTGTGAGCGAACACTTGAAAGAAAGAACAAGAGAAAGTGTGTGCGTGTGAAAAAATGAGATGAGAGCCAATAAAGATAAAGATAAACAACCACACACACACACAGACTGTGTTTTTGTGCAAGAACATAGACAGGTGTTCCAGCTACTTCATTTGTAGAGGGCATGTACACACATGCTTCTATTCACTAGACAGATCAGGTTTGTTAGAGGAATGTTTGCTTCTTTGAACATTTCAAGACTCTGGGTGTTAGACATCTTCAATCAACTGAGCCAGCATGTGATCTTCATGCACTGTCAGCCTAAACTGTTGTGTGTGTATGTGTTCTTCAGGTGTACCAGTGAGACTAGTAGGAGGAGAGAGCCCTAGAGAAGGGCGTGTCGAGCTCTATCTGTCCGGTCAGTGGGGGACTGTCTGTGATGATGGATGGACTGATCATGATGCTGAGGTGGTCTGCAGGCAGTTGGGATACAGGTATGTAAGTTGGAATTGGCTAATTTCACACACACACAGCATTGATTCACTAGCTCATTATGTCCCAACCAATCCTTTGATTGACAGTATGTCAGAAAATAATAAAACTGGTTAAAAAGAAAAAAGTGCAAGCACTTATGGACAGGATCAGCATCACTGAAACAGAGGTACTGTGAAGAAGTGTTTGAGAAAAGCTTAGCTGAAAGTTGTCGAAATGCAATGTGATTTCCTCGTACATTATACTCACTTAAGTGAATCCAGACTGAATCTACTCGGTTTGCAAAATCCATCACCCCATTTCTTCATCTCACAATCCTTACCTGCTTCCATGTTGCCTTCATCACACGTCTGAAATGCTCAAGTTTATTTACAGTTTTTTTTTTAAAAAGCTACAGTGGATTATAAATCATAAAAAATGACTGCATTTCATTATTTATTAATTTTCTTTCTTTGATTGTAGTTGTTAAGATGTTTTGGTATGAGCTTTTCATGGTGACCTTTCTGTTACCTTTACAAAAATAAACATTCGATTTAAAACACAGGCTAATGATGCAAAAGTCACGTTTCAAGTATCGGATATGTTTCCTGGCACTTGTCCAGAGGCCTCCTTTTCATTTTCTTCTGAGACGCAATGACAATGAGATGACAAGGGAAAACTTTACAATAACAAACTGTCTTATTTCCTTTCCCATCACTCCTCAGCAAAAGATATTCATGCCTTAGTCACCAAGTTTTCTGTGACACATCTGTTTGCAGATGAAAGCCACATCTGGAATGCATAAATGTTAGAGAGTTAGTGGAAAGTGTGTTAAAGGCATGTAAAGCCATGTTGGAATTATCATTCTGTCTCATACGGGATGTAGTGAATGGTCTGCAAGGGTTGCAGGTTGCTCTGGTGGTGATAAAAAATATACACATATATGTATATGTACACAACTATACAGATTACCCCGCCTCCCACTCTATGGCAGCTGGGATAGGCTCCAGACTCCAACAAACCTGAATTGGATGAGCAGAAAAGATGGATGTATGGATGGTTTTTTCCACAGCTATGTCATGCACAAATGCGGAAGTCTTGTGGCAGAGGCATGGTTCTTGTCAACAACTCTGCTTATCTTGCAGAGTACTTGCTAACAAAGATTGTCCTAATATCAAGAGCTTCACTTCCAATAAAATAAACAGAGAAAAAAATGTTCTTTAGCTAATGGGTACATTTACAATGGGGCTGAACGCAAGGAATATTAATGGAAGCACATGAAATATGATGCCTGAGAAAACACTTGGCCCTCCTTTCCAACTTGAGTGGTTTATAGCCAAAGCAGCTCTTTTTTTTAACTGTTATTGTACGTTAACCGCGGGTTGCCTCGGAGATACACCAAGCCAGCATGATGTCAGTCTTTAGGCGTTGCTCCAAGCAACTCAGAGGGTCACTTTCTACATACATTGTCTAGGGAGCTATTGAGCACACAGATACAACATTAGATGAGTAAGTAAGAGACACAAGGTTCCCAGTGGATAACGAGACCTGTCACCCAACATACTCCAGGGATGCAACATAAGACCTTCTCTTTCTGTTATCTATCAGTCTTAATTAAATTTACAGTTACAGTCTGTACCTACACAAGTTCATCCTACAGGCCAGTGTGTGTTAGTTCTTTGCTAATTTAAGTCAGGGGTGAGATAATGGTGCAAAGTTTTGCTATCCTTTGTCAACCTAGTTTGCGTCACATTCTGAGAAGGTCAAATGTTAACATCTAAACCAATTTGTTGTCACCGCCTTCACTTACGCACCTAAACAGGTCTATGTAACAACAAATAATGTTCAACTCTTATTTAAAGACATTTGTAAATGGAATTTTGAAAAAAGCCTCATCACTCACATCAGTCAGTTTGTCTGACTTGTTACAGCTGAAAGATAAACAAAAGACGTCTGTTCTGCATGCGCCGCACATTCAAATTTTCCTTAGAATGTTACACAACAGACTTTGCTCCATGTCAAATACCAACAGAAGGTCATTGTCAGAGTTTTCCATTGTTGCTGCTTGTGCAAAAACAAGTGCAGAGCTCCAGTGCAGTTCCATATTTAGTATAATTCTTTTATTTTACATCAATATATTTTAAATTGCTGTGGCCATAATAGAACTTTATATCTGTCAGGTCCACTGATGGTGGGCACTAACTCTTCCTCGGAACTACCATCAGATCTCCCACGTTATCTAAATATTTTTACTAAGACTTACTTTTTTACTTAATTTGTGACACAGATCTTTTTTTTCCCCTCTGATCATAAAGAACGTGTGTTTCTCAGAATGTGTTACTTTTTGGACAGTTCTGCCTGTTCTTGTGTATGTTTTCTATAACTGAGAAAGCGATGTAGTGAAATGCGTATACGTCTGTCCTCTCAAGTGGCGTGGCAAAGGCCCGCGTGATGGCATACTTCGGTGAAGGGACGGGGCCCATCCACGTGGACAATGTGAAGTGCACTGGTGAAGAGCTTTCTTTAGCTGATTGTATCAAAGAGGTTCCAGGAACACACAACTGCCGCCACAGCGAGGACGCTGGGGTCATATGCGACTACGGAGCTCCGCAGCCCAGCTACAAAGTGGTGAAAGGTCAGTCAGTTAGTCAGGACCTGGTTTTCACTTTATAACTCTGAAAACAAATAGAGCTTCTATTATTCATCTGGAAACTATACTGTGTTTAGCAAACACGTCCAAAATGTTATACACACCAGAAAACTCAAAAGACATAAATGGCTGAAGAAAGGACCAGCGTAAGAGTTCAAGCAGAAAGTGTGGGACTTCGATGACTGTGTGTATCCAGATGGTAAAATGGAGAGTTTTACAGTATTATTGCTTCATCCTGTCAGTGACACGTCAGGGCAGACGCACAAAATGCTCTCCATTACCTGCACATGTTCTGATGCTACCATTTCTCACATAACCAATGCAGGACTGTATTTTGTCTCATTTTGCATGTAGTTTTGGACATCACATAGACAAACAGTGAAAGGAATCACTTTATTTATTTATTAATTGAATTCAGGTTCATATTATAGTAGGAAAAGAAGAATTATGCTTTTGACCAGACTAAACATTTAATAAAACCAACACTGGACCTGAGATGTATGGTTTAGCAATCATCACCCTCCCACAGGCTCTCAAATATACACAACCACTGGTCCCTCTTTTGTCTCTGTCAGATCCTGTGGACTCAATTTGTGGTCTGCGGCTCATACACACTCGCCAGAGGAGAATCATAGGAGGAGAAAACTCTCTGAGGTAAGTTGGCAGGGAGAGCAGGGATTAATACCAGCATGGAAAAATCCTGTCAGAGATCTAGAATAAAGAATAATGGCCACATTTTCAAGCAAACCTTAGATAGAAAACAGCTGATCTGAGGGCTATAGGCAAAGAAAACTGTGTGTGCAGACAAACATCAAGATACATTGTGTGGGGACGCATGTTTTAAAACAAAGCAGGTTCATACACAACACTGTGAAACAGTATTGAGCCACCCCTTGAGGCGACTTATGTTGTGATTTGGCGCTATATAAATAAAATTGAATTGAATTGAATTGAATTTTATTTAACTAAGAAAATGGGAAATCCACCTCTCTTTTTTGGATGTCGGCTGCCTTTTGGTTCTATAATCTATTAAGATGATCCCACGCTTCATTAATGGTGAACTTCCTGCACTTGTCTAGTATTCTTAATTTGTTTAAGAGCACACACCGTGCCAAGATGTGCCACGTTTTCAGCCAATAGCTCTTTGTTTTTGTAAAAATACAATTTTACCTGTAAGTTATACAAAGTGTGTGTTTATTTGATGTTTCTGTCACAAGCTGCTAGTAAGAAAGTGCCTAAAGATACAATTTAAAGTTCTTTGGCTGTTTTCTTTGTAGGGGTGGCTGGCCATGGCAGGCTGCTATCCGTTTGCGAGGATCTCGAGTAGATGGGAGGTTGGTTTGTGGAGCAACTCTCATTGACACCTGTTGGGTCCTCACTTCGGCACACTGCTTCAAAAGGTCAAAAACACACATCCGCTATTACACAAATACACTGGCTTTTTTCATATCGCACATATTAGACTTTTGAAGTGGAAATGTGGATTGTGCTTACACATATTTTGCTAAGTCTTAAAAGTGTTTTGCATAAAGTAGGATGTTTGAATTCATCCCAAAGCAGCTCGACAATGTGTGTGCATGCACAAGACTGATGAAGGGCTGAGAACTGAACATTTGAGCATTATTCAGTGCTGGTTTGGCTGTGGTTATGGTGCAGGTGGCAGGAAGAAAGGCAATTGCTTCAACTCAACTTCATCTGGACTAGAGGCCTCCACATGATGCCACAAACCGAACATCTATCACCTAACACATACAGTAGAGAAGGCAGTGGAAAAACAAATAGTCCACATTAAATGTTTACACAGTACATGTTGGATTGTCAGGCTTTATTTTACTGATAATATATTTTGGTTGTTACTGGGTTTTAGTTCCAGTGGTGGGGTTTGGTGGGAGAACCACAGCCCCGTAAAGACCCCAGAAGGTCCATGACTATAAATCCAAGTGTTTCCACATTTCAGAGAGGAAGAAGTCTTTCACTAAATCTTTCCCAGTGCCGTTTCCTGAGCCATTTCCAGACCACTTTAGCTGTCAGAGGCTGTATATGCAAGAACTCCTCTCCTCTGTGAAAGTCCTACTTTCAGCTACTTCGAAACGATACACAGGAAGTGCTCCAAATTAACTATACTTTCTTACAGGAGGTAGATTTAGGTAGTAGTGATTACTTGGTGATTAGTTAATCACCAGGGTAAGATTAAACTGACGACTGTTATACTTGCTCAAAAGCTGCATTGTAAGCCTTGTGGAACCTTCGACAGTTATCCTCAAACATAATGCTTTAATTGTTCTTGCGCTGCAAGAGAACGTTTCTCATAGTTTCCGTGTGGCTGCCGTTTTACTGATTCAGAGGGCCAGAGCTACTTAAGAAACAGCCTAAAGGAACTCACCTTTTAACTTGTGAGGTGGGGCTAACATGGAAGACTGATGAATGAGAGCCAAGTTTATCTAATATTAGCATCTCATTATTAGCCTATTCCTTGAACAGTACAGCTTCTTGACGTGTTTTCACTGCAATTTTAAGGCTTATCTGTATTTCATGAAGTCTAAACTGCAGTCACCTGAAGGCACTTTTCATTGTGAAAGTCATCACAGGTGTGAAAGTCTTTTGTGCTGTTTTGTGTTGCGCTCGCTGTTTAACCTTTGCGAGTCTTTGTGCATTTATGGTGTGACCTACAGGCCATAAATGCCCTGCAGGTCTCACCGGTGCCACTGCCACCCAGTTCTGCTATTTAGGACTTCAATAGTGATAGTCAATCAGCTTAATTCCCTGATATCGGTTTTCAATGCCTCAAGCTGTTGACCTCGGTTATGACAGCTATGAAAAGAAATTTGCTGTATGCGAGCCAGAGGACATAGACCTGTGAAGACTTCCGACTTCACGGTGTCGCCTTTCATCCAGTATACTCCAAAATAGAGTGATACATAAACAAGCACAAAGTTACACACAGCAACAAGCAACGTAATACTATGCGGCCCTTTAGGTCAGAGAAATTAGATGAGCAACTTGGTGTATTCACTTATGTTCGCTCGATTTTGCCTACAAGTACAGATGGCTTAAATATGAAATAAGTGCAGCTGTTCAACCTTTAGTAGCATGACCATGTTGTTTGATTCTCTTAGTATGTTTATGAAAAATGGTCTCATCTTATTGCAGCCAACACATAAACCGATTATTTTCTTGTAGCTGTACAGCTGCAGGTGTGCCAACAATAATATTACACACAGATTTCAGCAGCAGCAGCAATATGTGAAAAATCCATCATAATCTGGAGATTTTGCCTTAAGCGCAGGAAGCCTGGTTGCTCGTGCCACTTCATTTACTTTTTTAATGTAAATAGTCAGTGTGAGCTGTATTTGTGACTGTGTGCTTGTGAAGATTTACGTAGTCAAAAGGCTCGTCAGCAGTGTCTCTGCTCTGCCAGGGACCCGGTAGCATTCCCAGGTCAGGCGATCTTTCCGGAAAGACTGCACCATATGTAACGAGACACGGAGACTTGGCTCCTTCTTTAACTCTTCTTCATTTACCCGTTTCTTTGCACTCTGGTGCACCTTTCTATGTCCCTCCCTTTCCATTTCAAAGACACCAGACACCAAAGAATTAATTGAATGTGTGAAAAACGCTGGTATGTCATGCTATGAGTCAGATAATCACAGCTTTGCACAGATGGAGTGACAGATTTGCTGTCACTCTTGTCTTTAGTCACACTCTGTTTGTTTAGACCAGGGGTAGGCAACTCCAGGCCTCGAGTGCCGGTGTCCTGCAGGTTTTAGATCGCACCCTGGGTTAACACACCTGAATCAAATGATTAGTTCATTACCAGGCCTCTGGAAAACTTCAAGAAATGCTGGAGAGTCATTTAGCCCTTTAAATCAGCTGTGATGGATCATGGACACATCTAAAACCTCCAGGACACCGGCACTCGAGGCTTGGAGTTGCCTGCCCCTGGTTTAGACCTTAGTACAAGCATTTATGAGATAGATGAGATTTTTGCGTGAATATTTTGTGCTGGATTGTTCCTCCCAACATTTAAACATACTTTTCAGATGTTTTGTGAATGTTGCTGAGAGAATAGCATTGTGTATTTGTACTGAAACCTGAAAGTCAGAGCCAGTCACTTTAGAGGATTGTACAGCTTTGTGAGCTTTGTGCATGCATGCATTTCACACTCTTTCTACCATAACTCATAAAACTACTGTGTCTATATATATATATATATATATATGTGTGTGTAGATAGATAGATAGATAGATAGATAGATAGATAGATAGATAGATAGATAGATATACATATACATACATAATATGTATATATACATATATATCTACAATTCTCTGCAGGTATGGAAACAGCACCAAGCAGTATAAAGTTAGAGTGGGAGATTACCACTCCCTCGTCCCTGAGGAATATGAAGAGGAGTATGGTGTCGATCAAATTGTGCTCCATCCAAGCTACCACACCCATAGCAATGATTACGACCTGGCCCTGGTTCATCTGTCACAGGGGGCAGTGGACAAGATGCCGGGAGAGTGTGTGTCATTCAGCCGTCATGTCCTTCCCGCCTGCCTGCCCATGAGGAAAGAGCGAGTGCTCAAACAAGCCAGCAACTGTCACATTACCGGCTGGGGCGACACAGGTGAGGGTGTGTATGTGTATTTGAGTGTTGAGTGGATAACCTGGGGTGCATAACCTGAAGTCACAAAACATTATGCAACGTTATGCAAAATACCCTTTAATCTTCATTCATAAATCTTTAACGCCACAGGGCCACAGTATTGTAGTGATTCCAAGAGGTCAAATGCACTGCAACTTAAAATAACACCAGCAAATACAAAAACGCTGCAACAGCACACAAAACACAACAGAAGTTGAATAAATCGCAATAGTAGAAAAAAAATCTCTTAAACCACAACAGGGTTTTTCTGGGGAGGCGATATCATGATGGACCAGCTGCGGAAGTGACAAAAACCAAATGATGAGATTTTCAGACCAAGTTTGAAACACTCAAAAAAGCGGAGGATTCATCTGTGGGAGATATGAGGGAGGAAAAAGATGGAGGCAATGTGTGTTTTAATCACATGCTTCATTTCATATTGTAGATATGTGTTTGCTGTTAGCTTGCCACTTTTTGAGCTGGTCCATCACGTTATTGTCTCCCTCTCCATTTTGTTTTATGGTTTTGTTATTTATTTCTATAAAACACAACAAAAACCAAGCAAATATTTATTCTATTTGCTTGTGTTTTCTTAAATTGCAGTGCTTTTCACCTCTCAAGGCCAACATAGATTTCACAAGAATCTCACATTTGCACGTTTTCAGTTCCATGTTAATTGTTAACTGAAAATAGGTTGTTGCAATTACTTCTGCTGTCAAAAAATGTATTTAAAAACTAACAGAGACCTCCAGATGCCCCTCAGTGTTAAAAAAAAAACCCCTCAGCAGTAAGGCGATAAAGGGAAACAAGTGCACCCAAAGGGTTGTTTCTGTATTCAGTTAAGGGTGATTCTCCAAAGAGCAGAAAAAATCTATTCTCAATTGAATGTGTTTTTAAAGGTCACCTGCAAAGCCAGATGAAGTAAAGACGAGTCCGTCATCAGTGCTGTAAATTGTACTTGTTTGACTTCATTTTCTGTCTCTGTCCATACACCTGACCATATGCGCAAATGCACATCTGTTAGTGATCTTTAAATTACACGCTGATGTCATTAATCACAGTGAGTCAAAAGAACACAGGACACGGTCAAGCTAGAACACACACTCCCTAAGATCCGAGCGTGTTTCACACATGGATTCTAAGTAGTGGACTGTACATGTGATAGAACATTGATGTTTGTGGAAAAGAGCGTTTTTATTAGCTTATTTAAGTGAGGCAATGCAGGCTATTCAGAGGGTGTGAGGACATGTGTGCTCAGTACAGCTGTTAGTGCCCCTCTGATATCACACACGCAAGCAAATTTTACGCGTCTGCCATCCTAAGCTGCCTTGGATAGTTGGCAGTACTATGTGGCATTGGAGAGCATCAGAGAAAGAAACCACTCACAACTCCAGAGCTCTGAGCTGCAGAGCTCGGGGTGGCTGTAGCTCAGGTGGTAGAGCAGGTTCATCGGAGTATGAATGTGTGTGAATGTCAGTTAGAAAGCACCTAGGAAAAATGTGCTTGTGCGAATGGGTGTGAATGGGTGAAGCGCTTTGAGTGCTCAGAAGAATAGAAAAGCGGTATATAAGAACCAGTCCATTAGTTTGGTTGTTTGTCCCAGCGACACAATTGTAGAAATCCACGGGTTGCTGTGGTCGCAGTTCTTTTTGCTTCAATGCAAAAATGGGTTGCTGCTTGTTGTTTGGCCTTTAGGAGGCTATGTATGCTGTAACAGGTGTAAAAAGGCTTCTTTTTTTAAAAAAAGAGACGCAGCGTGGGAACCATGTGGAATAAAGAAAGCCACAAAGCTCGAAACTGACTTGTCTCCCAGTTCCCCTTCATACTGGCCAGTCAAGTTTCAGAAATTTAAACTTGACTGGCAAAAGTGATACTCGTGTGAAACACTGCTTCATAACCACAAGGATTAAAGGCTGTCTGGCACTGTGAGCTAAATGTTTAAAATCAGCATGCTACCATGTGATAATATTATTCAACAGAGTAAACATTTAACAGCTCAACATCATGTTGAGCCATGCTAACTTTATATTTACGTTTTGCACTAACCACATGCAGTCATGTGTTCTAGGTCATGTTTTGTATCTAAGTTGAGGGATAAACAGAAATTCTTGATGATGGCACTAAATGAGAATTCACTGTGAATAATTGTCATAAACACATCGTTTTTGTATGTTTGCCTCACTTTCCTTGAAATCCAATCATGATCGCACACACAATCTACCCAAATTTAATCTCACAACCCACACATCATACAGCATGTAGCAGCTGCTGTCAGTCAGAGTTAAATGCTGGATCTGTGTCTGAGAGCCATGAGATGCTGATGTTGCCGAAGATGCAGAAGAAAGTGCAGTTTTTCCTCCTGCTGCCCATTGAAACCTTGTTCTCTTTCTTTGGAGCATAAATTCAGGCGCACCTTTGAAACCTGCTGTTCTCTGCTCTCTCCTTTTCCAGGCCGTTCATACTCCAAGACCTTGCAGCAGGCTCCTCTGTCTCTGTTTCCACGCCGCCATTGCCAGGAGCATTTTCACACAGCCTTCACAAGCCGCATGCTCTGTGCCGGCAGCATCCACTCAGAAAGGCGTGTGGACAGTTGCCGTGGAGACAGTGGAGGTCCATTGGTGTGTGAGCGCCCAGGAGGGGGTTGGGTTGTTTACGGGGTCACATCCTGGGGTCAGGCCTGCAGGACACAGCAGTCCCCTGGTGTCTACACCAAAGTCTCCGCATTTAGCTCCTGGATACGCAAAGTAATTGGACGCGATGAAAAAAAGAAGTAATAAACTGAAAACAACGGTCTAAATCAAGAGGATTCATTTTCAGCCAGCTACTTGCATAAAAGGATATTTCAGTTATGAATACTTAATGTCATTCTTAATAATCCTGTGAGGTATATCACAATCTGACCTTTAGTGACATAAAGACAATGTTGGACTTTATTGTATTTTGTTTTTTGTCAAGGGAAATTATTCTTTAGCACTTATTTTACTAATTTAACATTTTTATGAGGTTTTCATTTCAAATGGTATATCCTGTAAGCTAAGCATCTCTTTGTTTATGTAGCATCACATGCAGCCCTTGATTATTGTTTTTTAAACTGTTTTCTGTGCTCGCTTTCGTTATGAAGTTATATCTTGTAACTTATGTCATTAAATATGCTATTAAAACGTTGAAAAGGGACCACTGTGTTAGAACAAGCATACTGTAAATGTGCATGTACTCATGCTGAAACAGTATGTGATAGCACAATATTGCATACTTGCACTACGAAATCCTTTTTGGTACTTAATGCATGACATCTAGTGCTTCTGTGTTAAGTATTTTAGTCATATTGTCAAAGTGAAATATGATTTTTAACCTCATTTCATTCTTGTTTATGTAACGTTTTTGTGTGATTTCAGGTCTTGGTAATTCTCAGGCTTTTGCAATTGCTATCCAGTCAGTATTTGTCCTTGACTTAGCACGATGTGATGTATGCAGAAAAAGGAAGGGGCGTAAGTCCTTCTGATTTAAAGCACAAGCATTTTTGAAGTGTTGATCGATCACAGTGACTCAAAGGTCTTGGTCAGATAATTGAGGGTTGTCATGCTTCTAACAACAGTGAAAGGAGACAATCTGTTACACTTGAAAAAAGAAAAAAACACCCACTGCCTCCTTATTGTTAAATGATAAATGACCATGTTTTTTGTCTCAACATTTCTGGGTAAGCACAAATTTTGATAAAATTTATATAAAAAAAAAATCTGAGTTTGTGTTTTTAATTTAGATGCCAACATATGTGCAGTGTTCATATTTTATTTTTGAAGTAAAAAAAACCCCCAACGCATTCACTTTTACATTTTATACGACATGTCCTGTCTTTCCACCACATCTCATAGGTCACAGCTGCTGGAACAACAGAGCTCTTTCAGGGTTGTTTTGTTTTTACTGCAAAGTGTCAAAGCAAGCATCCCCTTGTCAGATGATGTGTATGCACACCCAATGGAAAACAATGCCACTGGTATGTCGCAAAGTGTTTGCGGGAACTGCAGCCGGTCCTCCTGATTTATGAGAAAAGGTGTACAAGTTGCTGTGAATGCAAAACCAGCATTTCGTGTTTCTTTATGTTCTCCAAATGTATTAAAAGGTTACTTGAGGTTACTCAAGTATCTCATCATACTTTTTCAGCATGAGTAAATGCAACTTTGCTTTCACATGAGACAGTATACACTATCAAACTGTAGTGGTGGGGTTTTGGTTTTTGTATCTAATCCTGCTTTCTCATGTATCCAGAAGTATACGCCTCCCTCACGAATTAGTATCTCGACAGATTCCTACTTTCAACATACAACAAGAACACTCGTATTTTAAAATAAAAAAAAAATTTGGCAAAGTTTTGGCAAATTTTTAAGATCTACAAACAAAGAATACTACACTCCTGTAAGTTCATGCTCACTTCTGTGCCTAAAGGCACATTGCAAGAAATGGTAAAATATACTTAATTTATCCCAAAAGATTGGGATTAAACGTTAACATTATTTTAAATTTGCTGTCACCTGTTGATCAGCAGGGAAAGAGGTGCAGTTTTCAGAGCTCTAAGTCTGACAGCCCCCTCTTGTGGTCATTATTTGACATTGCAAAGTTATAAAACTAGTCTTGTGTTGAATTTGGAAATGCTTTAATTCTTCATGTCAAGATGCTGAAAAACATTCCTCAGTGTTTTGGTCCATATTGACATGGTCATGCATCACAGAGTTGCTGCAGATTTGTTGGCTGCACATTCATGATAAGTATCTAATGTTCCACCACATCCCAAATGTGACTATCAAGACCATTTGAGTACAGTGAACTCATTGGCATGTTCAACAAACCAGTTTAAGATCATCTGAGCTTTGTGGCATTGTTGGTTAGCCCGCTGGAAGCAGCAATCAGTAGATGTATACACTGTGGTCATACCCCCCACATCACCAGCCTGCACCACCAATAGAAGGTAGGATGAATTTATACTTTCTTGTCTGCTCCAAATTCTGACCCTAACGTTGAATGTTGCAGCAGATACCAAGACTCGTTAGATCCTTTTTCCAATTTTCTGTTATCCAAGTGAACCCATATGAACTGTAGCCTCACTTTTCTGTTTTTATCTAGCAAGAGTGGTGTGGTCTTCTGCCATCGTTTCAAGGTTCAACATGTTGATGCTCTTCTGCGTGCCTTACTTGTAAAAATGTTGTTATTTGAGCTGCTACTCAGTAATGACCTCGAGCATCAACTATTACTTCATATTTTCTGAAATATTCTCTGTAAACCTTAGAAATGTTTACTGGGAAAATCCATGCTAATCAGCAGTTTCTGAAATACTTTGACGAGCCTGATCTGGCACAATCAACCATACCATGTTCAAAGTCACTTAAATCCCCCCTCCCCAATTGTGATGCTTGAGTGAAACTTCAGCAGGTTGTCTTGACTTGTTTCCGTGCAAGAATGCATGCCATATTGCCATGTGATTGGCGGCTCTGATGTTTGTTTAAAGGAGCAGCTAAACACTGGTCCCTTATACAGTGGATAATGAGTGTAAACACACACACATTGTAAGAATCAAAGGTTTAAACAGCTCTCAAAATGTCATTCAACAACATTTATGGTTTCGTGGCTTGGATGTTATGGGCTTGGAAGATATTCAAGCCCTAACCCCCCCTTTGCTATTTCATTTATATTTATATTCCACCAAGATACTATGTCACAACTAAAAGTCACTGACTCAAAACTTCCTTCCAAGTGGACTAAAGATTAAGGATTCAGGTCTCTCCTTTAATTTTCATTCATCTGTTATAGCCTGTATATGTTGTATATTAATATTTGCAAAAAACAAAATAATAAAATAAAATCAGTAACATCAAAAGTAAAATATTGATCTCATAACAATAAAAAAATAAAAAGTGTTAGCCAGTATGCAAAATATTGTTGTATTGATTAAATGTTCTCTGATACAATACCAGATGCACTGCATACTTTCATCATGTCATTTTCACTTACCTTAGAAGAGTAGAAACAGCATAGTGTAAGTTCACAAATGTGGCTTCAGGTATGATCCCGCATTTAGGTAATACAATAATATAATACTCGTTAAAAAATATCAGCTGTCAGTCATATCCATTTCTTTAATTTTGGTTTTTGTGTTTGACATTTAGGGATTTTGCATTCAAACTGAAGCTAAAGAACAGAGGCCACTGCTTTTAAAAAGGGGAAGAAAAAGTCAAGTTGAGACTTAACTGAGACACCGACAAAACAAAAACTGCCTGCAGTTAGCATAGCTACTTTAACTGTCATAGCCACTAGGCTGACTTCCACCCACAAACTTGTATCTCCTCAGAGCTAAAATCATCAGCACTCATTCTTTGCTTAATGGACACATGTTCCCCTGGATGTCTTGTCACAGTAAAATAATGAGCAGGCAATTCTTTTTGCTTCAGTGACTCATGTACAGTCCAAACTTTCCCACTAAAGCCACAAGTGACATCTCTACGGGTTAACAAAGCTACCAGATCTACCAAAAACTAGCTGTACTTAAAAAAAGAAAGAAAAATCACAAAAAATGAGAACCTAGCATGGAAAGTAACAGTTTTTCTCTCACCCTGAGTCTATGCATGTGTCCTCCTTGCTTTCTTTCTTTCATTAAAACAGGAAACTTAAAAAAAAAAAAAAAAAAAAAAGGTAAAAAGAGACCTCAAAGCATGTGTTTTTGTATTGGAGATACATAGAGCAGAACATAGTGCAAACTCACGTCTATGAGAACCACGCACAGCTGACCAGCGCTGTTCTGGCAACATAATTTAAGGTGATAATAAAATAAAAATTATTGATCACTGAATTTACTGCAGGTGTGCACGAGAATTCACCGGAACAGGGTTTGGGCATCAAAGACTTTCCAAATTCTCTTTGTCCCCCACAGTTTGCGTCACTGTTGTCATGTGGTTCTTTCCTTTAGTCCCATTTTTTCAGAGCTGTCTATTCATCTGACAGATCCATCCACCCACCCACCCATCTACCCATCCATCCGAGAGTTCTGTATCAACTCACAAAGTTTCTTTGCGCTTTCATTACTTCTGGTCCCTTCAGCAGGGTCACAGCTCTTCGGTGAACCAAGGCGCTCCGTCCTCGCTTTCACCTCAGGGTGCACTAAAAGGCCACAGACAGTGCATCTGAAGGTTAGGTGCTCCTGGTCGCTTTCCTGGTCCCTGACCCCAAGACTTTTAACCATGGCTCATGGATGCAAAGGTTATCTAACCTTCAGGAAGCAGCAAAGAGAGAGGGAGGGGATTCAGAGGGAAATGCAGAGACGAGGGAAAGAAATGGGATAAAGTAATTTAATTGCACTTTGTTGATTTATTGATCTAAATGCTAACCGAGTTAATAGAACGGGAGCATGATGTGAATGCTGTCAGTGGACTAGAAAACTTATGTCATGTGGCTGACTGCCTTTGACTCATAAACCGTGATAAAATGTAGCAGATTCAAGTGTGCCAAAAAAAGAGAACAACAACATTATGAAGCTTCATGTATCTTCTATGCTTTGAATATCTATTGGATTGATTTGGGTTTTTTTCAGCAGGGCAACGTCACAAATTGTGACACACACTCAGCATTTTTATTGCACTGCATTGTTCATTACCAGGTTGGAAAGTAACAAAGTACAAATACTTTGTTACTGTACTTAAGTGCAATTTTTTGGTATCTGTATTTAACTTGAGAAGTTTTTTTGTCAACTTATTCCTTTTGCTCCCTACATTTTAAACAAATATCTGTACTTTCAACTCATTACTCATTACTTTTGCTTTAACGCTGTTGGGGGTAGTTATTGTTTTATCACTGCGAGTACTCAAGTACTTTTTTACTTGAGTAAAGAACTTGAATCAGTACTTCAACTTTTAGTAGAGTATTTTTAACAGTAGTATTTATACTTCTACATAAGTACAGAATGTCTGTACTTTTTCCAGCCAACCATGAAAAGAGAATTTATAAAATTTAACAGCGGTAGAAGTTAGCAGGAAGTTAGCTCACTAGTTTTCACCTAAACATGATGTATCATGTTCTGACTGAGGGGTTTCTGAAAAAATTAAAACGTACAGCTCTGCTATCACAGAGAACATAAATGAAGACTAAACTGCAGTGACGCTTTGTAGGGTTACTGAAGTTGGGCTAGCTGGTATACAATGATGTACTACACGATCGCTAGCGACATAGCTATGTTAGCATAACATAAAAAACAGTGAAGCTGGAGGATGAACACTAACTTTTTTCCACAAGTTAACGTGGACAAATGAATGAATAGCATGTAGTAAAAACCGAGAGAGGCCGACAGTGATCACTGACTGTTTTTAGGGGCTTGTTGAGATTAAATAGAACAAGATGCAAAGCATTAAACCATGTTAAAAACACAACAGCCTTAGTAGTTTAGGCCTGGAAGCAGGTTTCATGTCATCACTTAGAGACCGGATTATACTGAGCATCTGATAGTTGTTTTAACTACATTCTGCAGGCTATTTTAAATTCAGTTTTGTTTGATCGATATTTAATATTCACAATTATTCAACTTTATTGTATTTATACTGATGCCAGGTTAATTTTTATCTTGTTATTATTATTTTTGGTCATGTTGTGTTCCGTTATATTGATCTTATTTAAGCTTGTTGTCATATTTGTGTATACCTTAGGTATAACTGCTGTACTCAAGGTGTTTCCCACCTTTGAGATGAAAAAAGTATGTCTTTTGTTAAACGGGGGTTGTGACAACATTTTCCCCCAAAATATATTACAACTGGTTATATAAGTTTGTGCTGAGTTCTGTCTTGTTGAAATCATTGAAGACTGTTGATTGCTTTCAGCACTATCACCTCTAAACATACTCGAAAGCCATGAGGTAAAACTCATTTTACATGTTGGGGGTAAATTGAAAGAAATGTGTAAAACTGCTCATTGGCAAGACTGCCCTGCAATTATAAACTCAATTACTTTGGTGTTGTATAAATGGGCACGAGGGAAGTTTTTATCAGAAGAAAAGGGTGTAAAACATTTGATAATACATCTGAAAACTCAAAATTTATGCCCTACTTACCATCCAGTGACCAGATCGGAGTTTTTGCCTTGCTAATTCTGGCCTCCAGAACTTGTGTTTGCCTAAAAATTCCCTGTTTAAAACTGGGCTGGTGTGGATATTTATATTCAATATTTACATATTATTCTGACTCAGGTTTATACTCAAGTTTTCGTATCATCATTAAGTTGTAAATGATGAGCAGAGGACAAACAAAACTGTGACTGGCAGACTAAATGTACAACCATGTTATAACAATTTAGTTTTAGTTTGTTTGATTAACCCCAACATTAACATTTCTGCCAACACAGAGTCCAGTGAACCATTGTTTCTAAACATGGAAGCTCAATAAAGTTAACCCATTTTAGCCTTGGGCATTTTAAGTGTGCAGTGTTTTCAACTGTAAAATTAAAATTAAATCAATAAAAAAAACTATAAAACTTGAATTGCTGCTGTATATTTCACTGCTCAGTTTAATACACTATTAATTCGTTCAGACTCTTTAACTAACATATATTGTGTAGTCTGGTGAGATGAGCAATCTGCTGACCTTCTGCAACTCCTCTCTCAGCCAAGAGGGAAGAGGCTGTCCGAGCCGGTGCAGCAGCTTTGACAGCTCCACGTTGTGTTCTCTGTAGTACCTGGAGAGATATGCCCGTGCCTGAAGAGAGTAGCACGATGAGAGACGATGAAAGAATGAAAATAGAGAAGACCAAGAGAAGGGGGAGTAAGGGAGACAAAGAGGCAGCAACACAAATAGGAACAGTTGGTCCATCAGGATTCGATACGTTGTAGATTGGAAAGACAACACAGGAAAATAAAGAAATAGGAAGGAAAGCAGAAAAGGTATTGGGTGAAAAGAGGAAAAGAAGCACAAGAGGAGGAAAAGGGGTTGAAAAGGAGGGATATGTAGAGGCATTTTGGGAAGAGACAAACAATAAAAGCGAGACAGGGGGAGAGATATATATAGAGAGAGATTAATGATGAGCCACACACCAAGATCAGTTTATTTCTCCTCTGTAGGACTTTAGGGCCACTAAGTGCCAAGTGGTACCAACAGAGCTAAAAAATGAAGTTATAAAGGGAAGAAAATTACATGAAGGATGCATGAGATCCATTATTTCTCTCGCCCCCTGTGTGAATTCCTCATCTCTCTACTTCTCTTGTCTCCCCAGTGCTACCTCCACCTCCTCCCTCCCCATCCCTGCTTTGCCCTCTACCTCCGTCCCCCTGGTGGAAACTCAGAAACAGTTTAATTATAGGCGACAGTGAGGCGCAGCCATTAGCCATGTGTGAGTACATGTGGGAAGACAAATTGCATCTATGTGTTTGTCTTCACGTGAGAGCAAATGTGTGATTCATTGTCTGCAGGTCTGGTCTCCTCTGTGGAATCAGTAGCCAGGACAAAGATTTATGGATTGGATTTTCTCCTTCCACCTTCATCCCACTCTCTCTCTCTCTCTCTCTCTCTCTCACACACACACAGAGGTTGTGTCACTATCGAGTCCTCATGATTAGGTTGTAAGTTTCTGGCTAGATCTGATTGGGTGACAGTTTCCATCCAATGCTGAGTCCTGTGGGAAATTTTGCCACAATGATAGAGGGGATTGTGGGCTGTCACTGTCAATCAGTCTGGCAGCTCTTTTTTTCTTTTTTGTACATCTTTTTCAAACATTTCATTCAGGGAGTATGTAAGTACTTTCATGAGCATAATATGTTCTAATTAAAGTAAAAACCATCTTACCTCTGGCTCCATAGGGGGGTACTTCCTTCCTTTGCTTTTCCCCAAACATTTAGTCTTTCCTCCATCCAGGAGCTGGCACCAAAAGCCCTTCTGAGGGTCAAAGCTGTGACAATAGGAAAAAAAAAATTAAATACTTAAAAAAATAAACCTCAGTGCTGCTGTCAAGGCCATCCTATTTAGAAGTGCTCCATTTTTTAGCAGCTACAGCTGAAAAAGAGGACACATCTTATTCGCACAAACTAAACATCTTTTCTGTCACCATCATCTATGTTATGCCCACTCTCTCTTCACCTTTCCTGCTCTCTCGTCGTCTTAACGGAGTCACGCAGTAGGAAGAAGTACAGTTTATTGATTGGTTAATACAGTAATCCTCTTCTGCGGTGGAAAAAGAAATACGGGAATATGCATAGGCTATAGCCTGTTTATTCACTGGAACGGTTTCTGTTTTCTACGTAAAAAAAGAAAAAGCCCTGGAGCACGCAAGTTAGAACCATTAAATGGTATGTTTGTTTAATCCACTTTAACCAATCCATATTTATGGCATTGCATTTAAGATGTCATGTGTCTTATATTCAGCAGCAAACAGCTAATACTTGCTCATTGTGACAGAAACAACTGCAAGGACAACTGCAAGACGTTCCTGACTGCCATGAATAAGAGGTAAATGATCAGGCACAGAGTGGCTAATTGCAATCTGATAGAAGAGGTAGTGTCACAGGTAAATGAATGTGCTGCTTTTGGCCACTTTGTGACCTCAGTATCATTTCTCCACCCTGTGTTACATTTTCCTTGTGAGTTTTGTTGAAATTAGAACACTGAGAAAAAAAAAGAGCATTGCACCCCCTCCCTGTTTTTTAAGACAAGAAGATAGTGGGTGACCTTCACAGCAAAGTGCCTTTGTGAATTACTGTACTCTGCTGGAGGGATTGGACTACTTTTGCAAAACTCATTCCCCAATAGATTTTGATGGTGGTGGTGGAGCGTGCTCTCTGAGGCGTCAGGCAAAGATCTTCAACTGGGTTGACATCATGCCATAACGTACGATCCATCAAACCATTCAGGGACCCCTCGTGCTCTGGACAGGAGTATAATCACTATGAAAGAAACCAATTTCCACCAGAATAGGAAAAAAATGACTCATCAAATACACAGAAAAACTTGAATATTGATCTGCAGTGACTCTTTCCTGTAAGGGGCATGTAGATACAAATTATGCTGATAATAGCATAACAACGCCATCAGAACCCTTGACTGTATGGCTCAAAGATTCTGATATTTTCCATAGTTTGGCACGTGTCAATATCTGGGCATGTACACCACTGATGGCAACCTATCTCAGAAGTAGGTAGATTTCATATTAATCTACCTGATGTCTAATCTTATAGCTCTTCAAATAATAATAAAAACATTAGTAAAACATCCAATTTTGTGAATGTGGCCATTTACCGATAAGGAACTTATATCTTGAGATTCAAATAACATTAAAACCAGCCAATCCAACATGATAACCCCCGCAAAACTGTCCAGCAGAAGATCATGTAACACAATAAAACCCAATGTGTTGTCCTAGCCTCCACACTTCATATAGACCTGCCCCACAATGCACAGGACACATAGGATCAGCTGCCAAAGGATTCCTGTGTCCATAACCTGACCAGTCAGAACTATATTTTTTTTAAACAATACTAGATCGTTTTAGTTTCATGGAAGATTTTTGTCGATTACAGTAGCACAAATAAAGAGATAAAAGAGGTGAAAAGGAGATACATTTAAAACAAGATGCATATTATTGTTAACTGCTTTTGACAGACGGAGGATCAGGGCTAATGTGGATATGATTGAAAGATGCAAATATTTTCTTTATTTGCATGCATCAGCGGGTATAGAAGTATAAAAAAAAAGAGTTAAGTGGTTCTTCTTCAGTTTTCCTCTGACAGGACAGGAGGAAGAAATGAAAGGGGGATTAAATAAATAGGCTCCAGCGTTGAGGATCTGTCAGACTGCTGCCATGTCAAAAGAATGAGAAGGAGAAAAGAAAGATTAGGCTTTTGTGTAAGTCGGTCTTCAGCCAAAACACAACCTCGCAAGCGCACACGCAGCTTCCTTATTATTCTGTCAAAATGCATCTCTTTACAAATTATTTGTATGCATGTGGGTGTGTGATCCAAGACAGATGCACTCTGTCCCAATCTGAGCTACAAATTCTAGATGTCCCTGTCTGTAGACTCGAGGGCTTGCAAGCAGATTGCATTCTGATGAGTGGTGCTTGAGAAATAAACAGTTTAACGCTCCTCCAAAACATAAAGGTCAAATGCAACATCTCTAATGGAGAATGAGTTGAAACAGGAGCATTCACAGGCGGAAGCTAATTCTCTTAAGTTATGTACATTAAGACTCATTTTTGTCCATGCGCCACATACAGCTAAATTTGAGCTCAAGTGGGCTGGAGCAGTTGTACTACTATATAATAATTTAACAAAAATCAATTATTTAATGAATAATCTATTTTGAAAAACAGGCACTATATGATAGTGGACTGTCCAGGATGCACCCTGCCTCTAGGCCTGTGAGAGCTGGGATAGGCCCCAGCCCCTCTGTAATCCTCAACTGGTTAAGTGGAAGAAGCTGTATGGAAGTGTGGATGGATGGATGTTACTGAACAGCCAACATGTCTTGAAAAGTGCCACTCTATTATCATTACAAAGCAACACAACAAAGACCCTCTTTGGCTATGGCAAACCATCTGCAACATCTTTGCCACAATAATAAGTCAGCTCTCACAACTGCTCTCTTGATCATTTCTTAATGTTTTTCTGCACAATCATTCCAGCTGCAAACAAACAAACAAACAAAACAGTAAGAAGTCCAAAAGAAATGATGCTTTTTTTCTCTGCGATTTTCACACTTTTAAAAACCATCTAGTGGGCCAGATTGCATCCAGCCAGCCTGTGTTGTTATCCCAGTTCGACTGACATATTTTAGGCAGCTCAACCAACATATTAGATGTACTCGTCTCTGAAAACATTTGATATGCAGTGTATTATATCGATCTGCGTGATTAAAAATGAACCTGGGGTCATTTTAGTGACTACACGTGAAAAGAAATTTGAGCACATACGTGTAACATGCTGTATTTGAGGTTGCAAACAGCATGCATTGGCTACACAATTGAAACCATCTTTCTGACTTGCTTGGTGCACATGCCTTTTTTATCTGCTGTGAAAGACTGCAATGGATGTGTTCATTATTTATCTTGGTAACTGGCACTGTTGTCGTTGCTATTTTAGTTCTTTTGGATTGACACTGTGCAGCAGACTTACCCTTTTTTTTTATTCAGGCAGCTGAAACACAAAATACTCAAGCAGCAGATACAGTATGTGAGGACAGCTACTGTCCTGTGTTTAAAGAAGGTGGAAGCTTCACCAGCTGAATAGCTTTTACCAAAAATATGCATTAATTATTCCCTTCTTTCTTGCACAAATACATCTAGAAATGTGGTACACAGTGATTATGTAATTCTTACATACTTGTTCAGAAATATACATACACAATACTTTCATGTCTAATGTCTAATTGCATTACTTCCAAAATGCAAGTAATGCAATTAGACATTAATATACCCAACGATGGGGTGTGATATCACTAAGTGTGGCCCAAAGGTAAACATCTAATAGTATTTGCAAATCAGAATATTTCAGACTTCCTCAACAAATTTAAAGCATTAAAAATATTTTGTTATTTGTTAATTTGCCATTGCACTAAAAAGTATTCACCTCTCTCTTATGCACATAAACTTCTTCTATCATTATACTGCCATTTTACTCTTTAAGGTTTACATTCTCATTTATATCTTGTGTCCATCTACACATATCCTCATACACCAGGGATGTCAAATTCATTTTGTAACGTGAGCCAATGTATCCCACTTTGATCTTATGAGGGCTGAACCAAAGTCCCCTTTCTGTCCATGAAAATTTAAATATAAAAATATCTCAGTGTAAAAACCCACCTTTATTTCTTTTCTACACCATAAAGAAATGCTGATGTAGCAAACCAAATACATTTATCAGTTTATCAGCTTGGGGCTAAATTGTATGAACTGTGTTAAAATTACAGAAATGAATTCTTGTAGCTCACTGACTTGATTGTCCTGTAATTATAAAATAGAAAGTTTTTGTTAATTCAGCGAAAATTCCGTTTTTTTTCCTGTGGGTACAGTGTAAAAAATTGAAATTTCAATACTAGATAGTGAAAAACATTCATGTTGAGTATCATTTAATTGTTTATCTGTTATTTAATTATGTTGATATATATGCATAGCCATGGTGGAGGTCTTTATCAACAGGAAAACTCGTGAAAATAGTCCAAAATCGATTCCCTGCTTCACATTTTCCAAAACTGTCCAGTGGTCTGGATTGGAGTCTCTCTAATAAGCACACAAACTCCAAGGTTGACCTTTAATAACTCTTAAGCAACAGGCATATGATGTCACTGTTGTGTTTTTTTCAGAGAATGACACCACTTGGCAGGCTGTCCCCACCGTTCACCAGTAGATGTCAGGCTTCACACAAATTTGGAGTAGGGTCTTGTTATGGGTTTAATTTGTTTAAATATTTCCACCTCGGTGCACACTCGGTTACTCCAGCATGCCAGAGATGGAAGACAGTCATGACTGACACTAAGAAAAAACAGAGAGTCAGCGAGATACTGTGGGAGAGACTTACGTAAGGGCCTGGGAGTAGTTGAAATGGGGAGTGACACCAAGGAACTTCTGAACTTCATCCATCACTGCTGCAGGGTCAGTTCTCAGCTGATGGCCATCTATGATCATCAACTACACACAGATGCAATCATGTGCTCAGATCTGAACTCTGACTTTTAACACTTTAAAGCTTGAACCATAGAATAGTTGCCACAAAATTCAATTTTTATTTTTTTTAATGTTTATTTATTATTTAATTCTGACAAATAAAAAATGATCATATGTTAATTAGCATATATGAATTTTAAATTGCATCATTTTCGTTACATCCAGCAGTTTTTTTCTTTCTTTTTTTTGCAAATGTCTTATGCAATTTATTTAGTTTTGAACTTTTATTTGTTTATTATTCATGCATCAAATATGACACACTAGGCATTTAGGGGTTAAGACCAATTTACTTAAATTTTTTTCATAAGCTGAATCAATAATTTCTCATTTTGTCAAAGCAAAATCTAATCACTAAAATGAAGACACGACTACCATTGTTTCAGCCATGTCTTTTTACGACAATCACAATTCACAGAGAGCTGTTAAGAAGCTAATCTCACTTCTTATTTACTTTTTTCAAGTGCATAGCCCTGTGTCTGTGTCTTTGCATACCTGGTTAGCAGGGTAGTACGTGAGCCACCTCTCTAGGTGTGTAGAGTACAGACCAGGGATGAGACAGCGGTTCTGCAGGGAGCGCAGCTCGGCTGGCGCACCCTTTTTCGCACTGATGACATCATAGAAGGTGAAGCGCAGGGCTGTATGGTCCTCGTGAGCCCTCTGATGCTGGAGAAGGATCACAACTCCCAAATGAGCTTCACAGAATACTCTGGACGATTAATACGTTCACACCTTTTGTGTGAGAGCGTGTTTTCATTGTGGTCAGTGATATAACATTTACGCTGGCACATAGTTGACATTCATATCTCATTAATTAAGCAGGCTTAAGGAAAAGATATCGGGATCTTGTGACATTTCCTGTAATGATATTCATAGATAAATATATCGATAATTAGGCTCATTAACTCTGTGCATGCAAGCGACTCCAAGCACAGTCTTGGATAAAGAACTCAATTTTAAATCAATACAGAGATGCAGCAGATGAAGCAGGCAACTGTAGCAAGTTTTTTAAAAAAAATAAGTGAGCAGGCAAAAGCATCTAATGTATTCTGTGTGTGTTTGTGCACAGTACTTACCTGATACCAGCTGTAGGCCCTGTCAGAAGGGTTGATGAGCAGGGTGATGATCTTGGCCTTGGGTAGCAGGGCAGCAGCTCGCCGTGGGGTCTCCTCTGAGGGGAAATAGTTGGCGCTCTTCTCAAATAGGAAGTCTGTGCTAACATTGGAGGGCACGGGGAAAAACTCCATGTACCTGAGGCAGTAGACACAGGGAAAATTAAGTAGTCATATAAACATATGCACACACTCAAGACGTACCCCTCATGCACAAGCATTAATCATCACTGCAAACTCACCCAGCCGCATTTAAGCAGTTTTTTTTTTCAAAGTCACTTTTAAAGTCACAAAGTTACAGCCTTTACAGCTCAGACAATGATCCTGAAATAAACACGATATATTTTAAACTGTGTTTAATGAAGAATTTTCACAGTCAGGTCTTTATGGATGACTTTGGAGAATGCACCAGCTGTGTCTCTGTCAGCTAAGCAACCCATAAATGGGTTGCTTACCCATTTATGGGTCAATTTAGGCAGCCATATGTCTGTTGGCTTATGTTTGCAGACTTAAAAAGATCATTTGGAAGACGCTGCTAAACTGCTTAATGGATCACTCGAGTCTGCAAGACATAGGACAATCCATAACAACTTCACAAAAAGGCTTGTAATCTTTCATTTCACCTTAAGCACTGACTAATAAAAGGCAAAGACAACAAACAGAGGTTAGGCTGTGTGTGTGTGTGTGTGTGTGTTTGTGCTTGTTCTTACCAGTCAATTCCTTTGTGGTAGTTGTTGGTATTGAAGAACTGGACCTCCTCATAAGTCTTTGGACTTGGGAAATTGCTGGAGATGGAGGGATGCATGAGTAGGAAGAGATAAAGTGCTGTCGTTCCTGGAAGAAAGGGCATAATTCATAACTGGCTTGTTAATTCAGCTCAGGAGAGAGTAGTCAGTGTGTGTGTGAGTGTGTGTGTTCATCAGTGTGTGTGAGAGCTGTCATCCACTGATCCATACTGGATGAGTTTTCCCTCCGCAAGATTTATATCTTGCTGAGAACTGATTATGTGAATGTGTGTGTGTGTGTGTGTGTGTGTGTGTGTAGTGATCATAGGCCTTCCCATCAAATGATTTAAAACCATTTGACACCAATCAGCACTGGGGCTCTGGTCGTGCCCTCTGTCTCGCCCTGAGCAGCTCTTTTCACCCAGTCCCCCTCACACTATCTCATGCACAATCCTGCTATTTTTCCTTCAAGTCTTTTTTCCTGTTTGTTCCAACATCTCTGACTTACCCTCTAACAAAATGAGGATGTAGAGGGTTGTAATTATTGTTGTTTGGTTGCTAATGTTGCTATAATGACCCCCTCCTCCCATTTGGGAGATTATCACCTGGTTAATGAGCGGCTAGAACCTCCTAACCTTTCACACCAAACAGCAGCAATTAGAGGACTTAACTCAGGACTTGTGTAATGTATACACACTACCTTGTTTTTAAGTCTTTGAAGGACCCCCAGTGAAAGAAAAAGGAAAAAAGGGAGAGGTTCTCTATCTGTGCATCTAAAGTAGATCACATGTGGGTGGAAGAAAGGTGGTAAGAGCCTCCTCCTTTGTCTGCCTCTGACAGGACCACAAGAGCGAGGGGGGATTAAATGAATAGGCTCTGATGTGGTAGTTCCAGACACCTGGGCACACAGAAGCAGTCTCTTTGTTGTTTGTGCATGTCTGATTGTGGGCTTTTTTTCTGCATCTTTACCTGTTTTCTGTGGTCCTATTACCATGAACTTGGGTAATCTGTCACAGGTTTTTTCTTTAGACCAGATGTCTTTATGTCGCTTGTCATCACACGGGTTCTACATCACAGAAAAAAAGGGATTAGAGGTTAAAGCAATCATGCACATATTATACACAGAAACACAAACATGCCCCTGAAAATCCATACCACAGAGGATTTGCAGCACAAAAAGGAGGAGATAAGCATTTGTTTTTGTTTTATGCATACTGCTCATAAGTCACTACAAATTTGTGTAAGCTTATATACTGTACACTCTCAAACAGTACTATTAAAAGCATCATATTTGAAGAAAAAACCTTGATATTTGTAATATTTAAACAAAAATCATGATCATACGCAAGCAAAAACAATTACAATCAACCAAAGCAAATACCACCTAAGTAGTGTTTTCTGACCATGACATTACTAATCTAATTTTTAGATCATTTGTACATCTGAATATTTCAGGATTTCTTTTTCTTTGTCCTCCAGAATATGTTTTAATCTTAGTAATAAGAACATCTTATTACTCCCAACAGCACCGATAAAACCGTACAAATGCAAGGAGCAATACAAGTCCATACCTGTAGGAAAATACCATAGCAAACACACCTGCCAGAGTGGGTTTCTTTGTTCAGGAAAGAGCTGAAAGTATTTGTGTGCAAGCTGGAGCGGCGGGAGGGTGTGAAGCTTCAGGTTCGTCCATGAGCGAAGGAAGGAGGCCAGGTGGACAAATGTGTAGAGCCCCAGTCGATCATTGCCGTAGTTAGATAGGTGGGTCATGAATATACTTATCTGGAAAGGACACAGGCAGAGAAGGTGGTGGTGGAGAGGGAAAGGGATGTAAATAGAGAGTGGGAAATATGTACTTATTATATTTTGTAAAATTGAGATAAAGTCAAAAACCCATTTCCCAAGTTCCCCATGTTTGTTGATGTTGGTGCAGTGGAAAGCAAACAGATTATTTCTCAGAGTGCGATGGCTTTAAATTCCCTAACAGAGCAGCTGTCCAGCAAGTATAAATATTTGCTATCACTTTGCAAAGTGACACAGTCACTTTTGTTATGTAAGATTGTACATTAACTTTTAGCACAACGCTGCTTTCAAGTACAAAGAGGCAAACAGATAAAGTGAAACTGATGTATTCACCACTCCTAGATAAAGCTGAGGAGGCAGCACAATGCTCCTCGTAGCCACCGGGTGATCGGAAAGCTGCACCTACACATGGGGGAGTGTTTCAGATTGTGTTCACAACAGTGAATGTCTGTGAGGAAGAAGGTAAGACTCAGAGGGAGCGAAGGAGCGATAGTGTGCTGGTCCGGGCTATCTGTCCACGGCTCAGTGCTTTTATAGGCTGATCAAAGAGACAAGCTAAGATAGCTGCTACAGACAAATGCACGCGAGTCAGTGTGCGCACATAAACTCACACACACATGCTTCTTTTGTGATTGCACAGAGCTTGAGAATGTGTCCGGATGAAACGGTAACATCAGCCATTAAGGTATGAATTATTTGTTGAATGTGAGCTTGTGTGTCAGTATGGATGAATAAATGTGTCTGTGTAGAAGTATGTGTGTGGATGCGTGCGTGCGCGCACACACACACACACACACACACACACACACACACACACACACACACACACACA